CACACACACACACACACACACAGATGATAACTCGCTCCTTATCTGTGCTGTTAATTTTAAAAAATGAATCTTTTACGTCACAAGAAGCAGCCACTGATTACATGAATAAAACTTTACTAATTGTTTTATAGTAAACAGTTTTAATAAGCCTCTGACCTCTGACCTCATTGACCTCATTGACCTCATTGACCTCATTGACCTCCATGGTCAGATGTTAACGTGATGAATTCTTCCTGTCCAGACTCGTCTGGACGCTCTGACCGAGGTGGACGACTGCGGTCAGCTGACTATTCGCTGCAGCCAGGACTACTTCTCTTTAGACTGCGGTATCACGGCCTTTGAGCTGAGCGACTACAGCCCGGGTGACGAGCCTGACGCCCGGGGGGCGGAGCCAGACGCCCAGGACGCTTCCGAGGAGCGGGAGCAGGAGCTCGATCGAGCCCCGGGCCTGAACCCGGAGCTGGGGTCAGCGGAGAACGAAGGACCCTGCTCCTCAAACCCTGAGCTCCACAGCAGTTTACCCGAACTCACCGCGGCCAGTGACCTCACAAACCACAACCATTCTATGTCAGTGTTACCCACAATGCAATGCAGCATGCCCAGCCACAGTGAAAGTGCGAAGCGCCCGCTGCAGGGTGTGAGCCACAGCACCGAGGTGTCGCCCACTCAGCCGTCGCTCCCCAAGAGAGCCGCCTTGTTCTCAGACGGAGGAACCAGCGTGCAGGACTCCAGGGGAGGCCTGGGGAAGGCCAGCCCGCTCTCTGGGCTCCAGTTCCAGGCCGAGCTGAGCCGAAGCACCCCCTCTCTCATGGATCCTCCGGACCGCTCCAAGTTCTGGTTGGAACTGGACTCGGTTTATCCAGAAAATGTTTCTCAGTCCTACGAGAGCCTGCAGGTTGGTGCTTTTACTGACTGACTGACTTCACAGGTCTTTCTCTTTCCAGGCTAAATCACAATGATTTTACTGAAGGTGCAGGAACTGATCTGGATCAGTGCACGAGGAAACAGAGTGTGCTCAGAGGGAGGTGTCTGTTGTCAGGGGAGAAGTCTTTTAAACTTCCTTTTTTTATGTTGTATTTGTTGTTGGAAATGGAAATGAATTGATTAAAAACTAAAAATGTTTGTCTCCATATTTAAGATGTGCGGAGCTTTGGTCCAATAACCAGTGTTAATAAGTTACATGTTGTTCAGTTCAGTTCAGTGTTTCTGATGTGTCTGTACGTGTTTACGTTCGATCATCTGTCTCGTCATTAAACCAGAGCGGCCTTTCACTGGCTCCCTTCCACTCCACAGGTCATGAACGGGCGAAACCTGCAGAGGAACCACGTGAGCTCCAGACACGGCGGACGCTCAGAGGGGCGTCAACAAAGACCGCCGACCGAGCAGAGGAGCTCATCTGCGGCCGGACCGACCGCCGACGCCCCCCCGCCTCCGCAGGACCCGGCGTCTCCGGATGGAATGTGGAAACAAATGGAGAGGACGCAGAAGGAGACACACACACACAGCGAGGGGGACTCCGACTCCTCGTTGCCCTCCCCCATGAGGGAGCGGGTCCTCTCCTCAGACCTGGAGGCGTCTGGAGAGGAGTCGGACCCCCGACCACCTCCCGGCAAGACGGCGGTCTGGATCGTGAAGCGCCAGGGGCCGAAGGTGAGGGTTTCCTCGGGTTCGTCTGGGAGAGTTCGGAGAGTTGTTTTCAAAGTGTGTTTTTGTGAGAGAGAGGGAAACAGACTTCAGACCACCTCAGATTCCTTCCACTGAAATCTGCTTCATTTTAAGATGCAGTTTTCTAAAGCTCCGTCATTCCTTATTCTTACAGCCTGACTTTCCTTCAATAGAGAAAAGAACGTTTAATTATTATTACAGACGTTATTCTTTAATACTTTTGCTTCGGGAAATTTTGACCAACTGGAACCTCTTTGAATTTTAATTGAATACCACACACACACACACACACACATACACACACACACACGCACACACACACACGCACATGCACACACACACACACACATACACACACGCACATGCACACACACACGCACACGCACACACACACACACGTCGTTCATCAGCTTCTTAAATACTGATCTTGATCTTCTGTGTTTTACCTGCATAAAATAAAGTTCTGAAACAGCTCTGATCAAGCAGTCGATTAAACNCACGCACACGCACACACACACACACGTCGTTCATCAGCTTCTTAAATACTGATCTTGATCTTCTGTGTTTTACCTGCATAAAATAAAGTTCTGAATGTCTGATCGTAGAACACAGCTCTGATCAAGCAGTCGATTAAAGTCGTTAACAGTTAACGAGCAGGATCGTGTGCGTCCTGTGTTCTCCTCCAGCAGGGGGGCCAGGGTTCGTCAAAGGCCAGTCCAGACCGGGAGCACTGGTACGGGTCGGAGGAGTTCCTGGCTCTCCCGGCTCAGCTCCGTAAGACTGAGATGCTCGCCATGAAGCTGGAGAGTCTGGCTCAGTCCATCCCGCCGGTCGGTCCACACTTCACAGCAGCTTTCTCACTCTGCATCTGGTCACGTGACCGCCTTTAACGACCTTTAACCTTCTCTTGCAGAGGCCCGGAGACTCTACCCAGGAGGCTTTGCAGGATGTGGACGACTGGGACCTGACGGAGCTCAACCCGGACTGGGACGTGGGGGACACTGTGAGCAGTGTGGGGGAGAGCGGGGACGACGTTCCCTCCCCCCTCCCCCCGCTGGTAAATAACAGCACATTTTATCCCTTCATGTGTAAATACTGACGGAGGCTTTGTTGATCAGACCGTGACGTCCCCCCCCCTCCCCCCTCCCCCAGCTTCCTTACAGACGAAACCTGGTCAGCCGCTTCAGCCCCACCTCCTCCAGCGATATAGCGCCGTCGGTGGGAGAGAGCATAGAGTCCGGCCCCTTGAGCGACCTGCAGTCCGAGGACGACGACGAGGGCCGGAGGTCAGCGGACATCCACCTGCAGCCGACTGCGCCTCTGGTGGACGGACGCGGAGGTGCGTCCCTGGTGCACCAGCTGCTGGAGGACATTCAGAGTCAGGACAAAGACCCCGACATCTGGAGGAAGATAGAGGTATGATGTGTTGCTCCGTCGTGCTCGTTTTCCCCAAAGCTTCATTTCATGTTGATGGTTAATGAACACAAACCTTGTCGATGTCGGAGCGGCAGCCATTTTGTTTTTGGGTTGTCTTTGTCCTTGTTACTTTACTTAAACTACTCCTGGTCCTCCTCCTCCTCCTCCTCCTCCTCGTCCTCCTCCTCCTCCTCCTCCTCCTCCTCTTCCTCCTCCTCTGGCTTGTTGATGATGAAGTGTGAGATTGTGATTGTCATCATTCAGTCTGGCGTGTCGTTGAATGTTTCCTGCATCAGCAGTGACTGTCGTCCTCGTGCTCTCCGACAGACTGAGAGCTGAGCGACAGGGATCTAATAAGTCAGGTCTGATGTTCGTGGCCGTACCTGCTGAAGCGCTGGTGAGGAAACAGAAATAAAACCTCAGCCGTCTGTCGTGGTCAACACTGACGATCAAGAAGAGTCCAGCCCTTTCAAACCATGTCTTCACTTGATTTAGGGAGCGACTGCTGTATTGTGATATAAAGGATTATCGACTTCCTGTATTCGGTTGCGACACAGTGAGGGCGGCCATCTTTGAACCTGTCACAGAGCGACGTACGACCACCAAAGACATCGTCATGTTTCTGTCACGCTGGTCGACGTCTGTCTGTAATAGAAGCTACAAACGCTCCACAAGTAAGAACTTCACTGTGTCGGTCAGACAAAGTGTTAGAACACCACCAGCTGCTTTTTACCGCCGTTCCTCCAGGAGCACTTGAAGCCTCCCACTGGTCACCTGTTCGAGGTGTTTTAGCTTTAGCCATTAGCGCGTTTCTGCAGAGAAATCCCTGCACAGGTTGAACTAAACACCGCCGCTCTTCCTCCCTCACTGCAGCTGTGTTGATGGATTGGAGGTCTGGTATCGGATCGTCCCGTGGCCCCCGTTAATTCATCACCTCACTTCTAAAGGTCACGTTTGATTGGCAGGCGGATTATTGATGAGACTGCCCGGTGAACTAATCAGTCATATCTGTCATATCGAATATGGTGAAATGTCAATAGCTCTGGGGATTCGTCCTCCTCGCGGCTGCTCCTTTAATTAGCGCTATAAAGAAGCTCTGCTGCCTCTAATATTTTTTATTGTTTTATTCTGTTCAGATTGCTTCACTCCCCTCTCCTTTACTATTCTATTCTTACCTTTTACTTCCCCGGAAACATTTAACTTTGCTGCTGTGCCATCCCAGTTTCCCCCCGGGGATCAATGAAGTTCAGCGTTTCCTTCTTATCTGGAGTTAGCCGGGGTCAGGGCCCCGCAGCCAGAATTAGACCGCCGTAATACGATTATCAGGGAGGATGATCAGGATATCTGAGGATCCAGTCCCTGAATTAAAGGCCCCGCCGTGCGAAGGGGGACGTCCTTGGAACCGGGGATCGGTGACCTGGAAGTGCGTGGGTCAATCCCCACATCAAACTGTGTCCTTCATATTCCCAGAGTCAAATTAGATCCTCTGCATTAATATTCAGAATTAATGATGATTTGACTGATGAAATGTCAAAGCTGTCCCCGGCTCGGTCTCAGCAGTCTGAGTCCAGGCGGGAGGAAACGTTTCCTTCGCCCGCAGCGTCTTGTTAGTTTAGGCAAGTTGATAGAATCATAATCGTGTGCGAGACTCTTCCAGCTGCGTCGCCGTCAGAAAAACCAGCTTCATTTTAAATCCCAGAGGAAGAACCAAAGATGCAAAAGACTTTCACATATTTCAGATGTGGAAAGAAACACAAGGATTTCAGCATTTATAGGAAATAGATTCACAGTTGTGTTTGACAGAAGAGGCGGGGCGCTGGAAGAATTCAATTCTATAAACTTTATTTGTCACATAGAGAAGAAATCAGATCAACACAGAAATACACACGTATGAGAAAACTGTACATATTAAGAAAAACAAATACTATACTACATGTAACTAACCTGCAGCTGATTCATGTATGATGTCTCTGATCTGACACGTTCACACTTACACACCGTCACACGGCATCCTGTCCTCTGATTTAATCTTCTCCACTTCACCTTCTTATGACTGGTAATCGTTATTAATTCAACATTAAAGATTATTATTTCATTTAAGCCTTAAACGAGCTCGTTCTCTTTCTCTTGGATTCTGAGAGAATTTGAATTATTTCTCTGAAGATGTTTCATGAAAAGCTGCTCAGGTACAAAATGTCTTTCCCTTGTAAAAGCAGCGTCTCCGCTCGGTCGGGTGCGGCTAGAAATTTTGCCCCTTCCCTCGTGGACTCCCCCGAACGTCTCAGAGCCGATGAGTATCTATAATCCCCGACACGTTCAGGGCCCTGCGCTGCTTCCCCTGAATCATTCAGATCCCCTCTGGCACTCGCTGGGTTGGTGTGGTCTGAGTGAAAAAATAAAATAAAATAGTTAGCCTCATTAAATGCCAAAATGTAAAGTACGGAGTTTGGAGTTAATATATATACAGATGCAGAGTGAGCTGGAAAGACTGTTCTTAAACTGCTTCTTATAAAATATTGGGAAAGAAACACACTTCCATAAATGAGCTTTAACACAAAGTCAACATAAAAGAAAAAAACCCTGAATTATAAAACAAAACACATAAAAACTGTCAGGAATTATGCTGTGCTGTCTCGCACATGACACCTTGTGTTAACCACGCACACACACTAAAAACACACACACACACACACACACTCCTCGTTCC